GTACATCGCGAAAAGGATTAAGATGCATAAATTTATACCTAATACCACGTGATAAGAATTCCACGCTTAGACCAGTGGACTGGGAACAGAGACACGGGTGATTTGTTTTTCTTGATGCTGGCACAGTTGAGACATATTTGATGTGAGGCTGATGAGTAAGAAAGAATTTGGACTCAATGGGCAGGGAGAAAGTATTCCAGGCAGAGGGAAGAAGAACAATAAAAATCGTGTAAGATCAAATGATGTTGTGCTGAACACTTAGGGGGTCTTGTATGAGTCGATTGTTTGGGGCGGGGAGGAAATGCAGGGAGAGCAGAAAGAGGATGGGCTTGATGCCTCATATTTAAAATTCTGCGCGCTGCTTGCTAACTTTGCTGCGCTTCCAGTTTGGGCTCTGCTAGAGACTGCAATGTTAGGGAAGTCATTCTTCACTCTGGTCTTCAGTTTCCTGCTCTGCAAAGAGAGAGGACTGAGTGACCTGATTTATTAGCTCCCTTCCATCCTGAAGAGGGCCAGTCTTTGAAGGAACTGCCCTACTTCTCTGTGCTCTTCAAAAGCCTTTGTTTAAAGCATTCTATCAAACACTGAACTCCACAAACTGGGAAAGGCTTTTTGAATATGAATAGAACCATTGCTTTCTAACTTGGTTTGGCCTCCTTCAACCCCCCAGCCCAGCCCCTGCTTTTCCCCTTATTGTTGTTAGATGCCCTCCAGTCAGATCCAACTTACAGCTACCCTGTGCTCAACCGAGCAGACCACTGGCCAGCCCTGAGCCATCTGCACAAGTGTTCCTTGTTGCAGCCACCGTGTCAGTCCATCTTATCGAGGGCCCGCCTCGTTTTCACTCCCCTTCTGCTGTACCAAACACGCTGCCCAGCTCCAGGGACTGACCACTCCTGCGAGCTTGTCTAAAGCACACACGACTGAGTCTCACCATCCTTGCTCCGAAGGTGCGTTCTGGCTGCACTTCTCCAAGACAGATTTCTTTGTTCTTTTGGCAGTCCGTGGTACCTTCGATGTGTTTTTGGCAGCACCAATCATTCAAATGCACCAATTCTCCTTTGTTCTTCCGTATTCAGTGTCCAATTTTCACACGTGTATGAAGTAACAGAAAATACCATGGCCTGGGCCAGACACACCTTAGTCCTCAAAGCCACTGAGAACATACCTACACTATATTCTGGGCATTTTTAGAGACATGTCAGAATTCTCACTGCACCTCAACAGCCTGACTTTGCCCTTTGGCTGCAGTGAACAGGAGCAATTCTTTCTGGATTGACCATTGTAGAACTGTCCAAATCAGGGCATTTAACTTAAACCAGCTTCCTTAGCAGTAGAGTTGTAAGCTTCTCTGTTATAATTCAGGTCAGAAAATAACCATTTTGCACTGAACACAGAATACATGTAAAGGTTAAGAAGACCTTTTGTCCAAGGAAGTCAGGGAAGGCCTAAGGCATGCTAGTTTTCCCGCTTCCGCCTAATAATTATACTAGCATCTTGAAAAGAACTTCATATTCTTCATGGCACTTTTAGTTATATCAGTATTTTTTTAGCACATAGACTTTCACAAACATTTTCTGAGAAACTACTCTTTTTATGCATTTCACTATACAGGCCCCTGGCAGCACAAAAGGCAGTTCACGTGCACCCAAAGGCAACAAGGGAGAAAGACTGGTGGTTGGCTCCGTAAGATTGCAGTTATCCTTAGTTGCTATGGCGTCACTTCTAACTCACAGCGACCCTAAAGAACAGTAGAACTGCTCTCCAGGGTTCCCGAGGCTCTAAATGTTTGTACACATAGACAGGAGAGCAGCTGGTGGATTTAAACTGCTGACAGCAGTGGAATGCACAACCACTATGCCACCTGGGCTCCCGTTCCTGGTAGTAAAAAAATACTACACCCCATCCCCCAAGAAGGCCCACTCAAGAAAATTAAAATATTTGCATTTTTTTCACCAATTTCAATAAAAGTAGTTTTATTTATTTAACCCCAAGGAGGGATTAAATATAAAAGTGTAACTTTTAGATCCCCTGTTTCGTGAGGAAAGAACTAAATACCTTTCACACAGCATATTGTCGAAGATTTTTTTAAAAAATATAACCAGAAGGCAACGTTCTAACTTTCTAATCATTAATCTTGAAAGTAGGTCTCGGGTAGAATCAGGTGATATTTAACGAGCCATGGTCCCGGGTAAAGCACCTGGTTGCTAATTGAAAGGAACAAAATCAAAACCAAACCCACTGCCATGGAGTCGATATCGACTCACAGTGACCCCCTAGGACAGGGTAGAGCTGCCTCTGTGAGTTTCCGAGACTGTCACTTCTTTACGATGCGAGTAGAAAGCCTTCCGATTGAAAGAAAGGCTGTTCGAATTCACCAGTGCCGCCAAGAGAAATACCTGGCCATCTTGCCCTGCTAAGATCACAGCCCAGGAGCGTCGTGAGGCAGTTCTGTCGTGTTGTACAGGGTCCTCAGGAGCCAGACTCCACTCAAGGGCTCACAACAGGTGACCTGTGGGCTGTGGGCTGTTCAAAGCTGCTTCTGGGGGTGCTAAGAAGGGAAGCAGATTCTTTGGGACTGCCTCCAGGATTCGCTCAGGGTCCCTCTCTTTGACTGGTCTTTCACGTACCTGTACTGTTATACTGGGGCTCAATCAACCACGAGCCGGCAGCTCCCAAAACGTTCTCTTCTTCCCAATGCCCTTCCTCCATACTGGAGAACCATAAAGTATAATGGTGACATACAGTGACATTTCTAAAATGCCATTGTAGAGGATTTCTTAAAATATATATATTGCTGTCAGATCTATTCCTACTCCGTCTGACAGAGACCTGCCCCCGGGGTTCATAAAGCTGTACGTCTGCACATCTTTCTCCGAACTTCTTAGCCCGGAAATAGAAACTACTTTCCAAATGCAAGCTGAAGGCCTTGCCCCTACTTAGAAAAACCATATACAAAATGTTGGTGGAAAATTTTCATTGTCTTTGTATTCCGTTTTTTTTTTTCCATGAATTTTTTAAAGACTTTATTAGAGAAGGCTTTGTATAAAATTATCTTTTATAAACTCTAAGGAGAAGAGTTCCTTCAAGAAGATTTTCCTATGAATAAAACCTCCAGAGTGGCACAGTGGGTTAAGCATTGGACAGCTAATTACAGGGTGGGTCATTCAAACCCACCAGCCACTCCATGGACGAAAGATAAGGCCATCGTTCCCCATGGAGATTTAGTCTCAGAAACTCTGGGGAGACGTTCTCTGTCCTAAAGGATTACTGTGAGTTGAAATCTATTTGATAGTAGTAGGTTTATGTGAACCTTATTTTATTTTGTTTGGGTTTGTTTGTTTTTTGTTTTTTTACTTATTTTAAGCATTTTTATTATACATTAAACATTTTAATGTAGAGTTACATAAAGTTTACAATATACATTTTTAGCACATTATAAGCACACAGTCCAGTAACATTCTTTTATTTCAAGTAACATTGGTAGTTAAATCACTTTTAAAAAGAGCTACATGTACATCACAATCAGTTCTAATACTCCAACCCCCTTCCCACATTCATTGTTTGCTCCCCAAAATTCCCCTCATGCTCCTCATTGTCATTGATTCAATGCTGTGCGAAGGCTGTTAACTGCATATGGGAGGATAGAGCCCAGTCTTTCTCTGGGAGCTGCTGGTGGTTTTCAACCATGCAGATTGCAGCTGAAGGCGTAACCATTACACCACCAGGGTTACTATACTGTGCAGATAGCTACCTTAAAAACAGCCGGGCCCAGAAAAAAGCTCCAGTTTAGAAAAGTTCTTTCCTCAGTGCCTTTTAACCTAACCTGCCTGTTGAATATTTAAACTCATATGAGAGGATGAGAATTGTTTTGTAAGAGCCGTTTCATAAGCTCAATAGAGCTGTGTTCTAAGGTCCTCTTAAAAGGAAAAGTGAGCGGTAATCTTCTGGCATTATGTATGATTTATAAACTGAGAAAACAGACGGGTCACATGTGACCCCTTGGGCTTCCAAGGCTGATTACCACAAGGCAGGTGTCAAACATACCTCCACCCTGCACACTTCTTTAACCGTATTCTGACGTATTTCCTCCCACTGCACGTCTGTTCCCACCCATCCCCCTTCACCCCCCACACTCTACTTTTCTACTGGGTTTGATAATACATTGCAATGGCTACACAAAACTCACAGATGATACAATTATGGGGTTTATTGGCTACAATTCAGGTGAGAAATGCTTAAGATACAGTTGTTTAGTCAGGACAGTTTCTTCACTGTTGTGCCCATAAGCAGGCCACTCTTGGACCCTCAGCCTTTGGCCTGGCCTCTGTCTTGCTCTGGCAATGTTACAAAACCCTTGTAAGGCTGCCAATAAGTGCTCAAAGGGCATGCCACTCCCCCATAAGCCTAAGCCAAACTAACTCCTCCAGTAAATTCCTAGAGGCACCCCATGAGCAACTCAGGCAACCGCCCCCAAACACTCAGCTTTTCTTGCTCCTGGGCTAGGAAGTCCACCGCTCTCTCTAAAGCTCTGGCTCCCAGGTCTGCTCTTGCTGCCCCTCTGTCACTGCTTGGTGTCAAAACTGCCTCTTGGATGGAAGAGGTTGAATGTGCAGGAACTTCAGGGTCCAACCCTGGTGGTTCTTCTGTCTCGTCACTAGTGAAACCCTCCCTCCTGCTTCTTAGAGGGCAGGATAGCACCCTGCCCAGAAGGATAGCCATCACAATTCACACTGTTAACAATCACTCGTAGCTGAATCATATAAGTTAGTCAGTATCTCCCCCCAGACCCATCAAGAAAAAGGTTCTTTGATGGAAGTAACAAAGTTGTGGTTAGAAGAGCCATATGAAATAATTTACGTCAGTGCACACTCTTTCTGAGAATCTAATTCCTTTGAGAGCTGGCCTTTGCACCTAGATCTGCATATTTTGTTTCAAACCCACACACTGCTCGCTTTTTAGATGGATACTGAATTGTTTGTTTGTTTTTCTGTGCTCAGGGAGTTCTGATCCAACCCTGAACATTTTCAGAGGCAAAGGAACATTCGGTGTGGACGTCTCGATAATCCCGAGTTCGGCGCAGTGTGAGGACTGCGTGGCACAGCTTGCTGATGGGCAGTGATCCCGAGTTCGGCGCAGTGTGAGGACTGCGTGGCACAGCTTGCTGATGGGCAGTGAGAGAGCAGCCAGAGAAAAGGCTGCTTTGCTCTCACGTCAACGTTGTGTCTGCTGATACTCGGGTTTCTCTCAAGGCTGTCCGCTGGGTGCAAGCCAGAGTGGGAGAGGGGTTGGCGGGAAGCAGCTGCAGCATCATGTGCGGGCAAGAGACAGGCATGTTTCCATCACCCCACCTGCAGTCATCACCTTGGCCCATCTAGGCTGATGCGTCAGTTACAATTATAACTAGCTCCCTGTTGGCCCTTGAAGTTACTAGGGATTTCTTTTCTACATCCCTCATCAAAACCTAATCTGACGCACGTATTGGGGATGGGGATGCCATATCTCTTTCTTCCTCTCCCTGGAATAGCCAGAGAAGCTAGAGCCATAAGAGAAACTGGACACTGGCACCCGGGGAAAGCGCAGTGGGCAGCTGTGGACTTTGTGCAGGCTGTGATGTCGCCTACATACTTTGTCTACGGAGCCAGCGGTGTGCCTAGCGATGCTTTTGTCCATTCCATTTCTGAATATTGATATAAAATACTAATGTCTTCCCTGAAAAAAGAGCTAGATTTCTGGTTTTGTTTGATTATTTTAGAAATCATGGAAACAGTTATTCATTTTTCAGTCTTATATTGTTATACTTATTGAAAACAGCAAGAACAAGTCCTTTTAACATGGGGAGAAAGTGGGATGAGTCACGGAACACTGAGGGGTTTACAGTGTGTAAGTTGAGAGAATGCATTTTTGAATGGAAAACTGATGATCTGTAAATCTTCACCTATTTCACAGTAAAAATACAAAACAAACCGAGGGGGAAAAAATCCTTTTGGAGTAAGATAGTTACTCCCAAAGTCGTTATAGATGAAAGGAATGTTGGTTTGGTCTTGCTTCAAAGTAGACAGGGATAGCAATGAAACAGGATTGACTGGGAGTAGATAAATCATTCAAGATGTGTGATGCATCGATAAGGGTTACTAATACCTGTCTACTTTGTATAATTTATATAATTTCCATAATAAGTACTTAATTTTTTCAAATCACTTGTGAAAATCAGTGGGTACCTTTAACTACTCAATCAACTATGCTGTCTTCAACATTCATCAAAAAAGGTAGATTAGTCCAGATTTTTCTAAGAAAATCCAGCCGTAATCATGACTTGTTTCAGACATCACAACCATTGCGCTCATCAGCAGTGCCTACCTTCCTTGGTCAGGTAGAAAATGCATACAAATGGAGTTCTATAACAAGAGCAGTGAGAGGGGACCTGGTATGGAGGTAGGGAAGTCAGACTCTTATTAAAATGCAGAAAATGGTAGGCATCTCATATAGGGATGGCACTCCCAGAAACTGTCATTTGGCCACTCTTAGGCAGCCAGTTGTCATAGAACAGAGATTTCTCCTTGAGCCTTACCCATTTTGGAGAAAGTGTGAAGTAAAAAAAAGCAATCCTGTTTTCTTCCAGTTTGTTTGAATCTTCAGTATCTAAGTATTGCCCTTTAAACACGCACAAAGTAAAGCGAATGTAAGTGTTATGGCCCCTCCCCATTATGATACAATCGTTTGGGCTGAGTAACTGAGGTAGACTCCACTGCCTTTCACCCAGTTTTATGGGAACGCATGGACTATCTTCCTCTTTACTCACATCCTTTGTGGGATGGAGTCACGTGTTCTCTGTCTGGAAGAAGTTGAAGAGCAGGCTGCTGCTTCACAAAAACCATCTCTTACAAGTTTGGTTAGGATCACCAGTAAGTCATCCAACATCCACCAGAAAATTCTTCCCAAATCCAGGAATTCCAATACCTTTGTCTGTTGTTATTCTGTCCGGCACAGCCCCAAAGGGTATGGGACTAGAAATATGCGCTTGACGTCTAATGTGGGCTCAGTGAACATGGAGTGTTTAGGGTAATGAGCCTTCCTCAGGATACAGAGATGCAACAAGTGCTTTAGTTCCCTCTAAGGAGGGGAAAGACCAGCAAGCAGCACTCCATCCTACAGCAAGCCTTAAGTGTACTGGGGTGGGGGAGACACAGGGGAGGGCCAGGGGCCACCCCTCAGAACACAAGGAGATTGGAGAAGGGTTCATGTGGGAGGTAAGTCCAGCCCGGGCTAGATCCTGAGAGATGAACCATGTTTGCTAGAGGCCATCAGAGAGGGCATGGGCAAGCCCAAGGCGCTTGAGAGGAACACAGTAAGAACAGCCAGCAATGGAAGGAGGCTTTTCGGGTCAGGAGGCTTCTTTACTGTACTCTTCTTCAGCTTTATCCGGTAGGTCCTGGAGAACTAAAGAATCTTAAATGCAGGAGATAGAGGGAGTTGGAGATGGATTTTCAGATAACTTTAGCCAAGAATACCGAAAACAGATGGAAGGAGAAGTGAGACATGAGCTGGGCAGTACAAAGATCCCCGAGGGAGACATTGAGGACCCTCGCTAAACCGACAGAATTAGGCAATAAAGAAAAGACTAAGAAGTTAAAACTCTACCAGTTTTACCCAATTGGGTTGGGCAGGGGGGAAGAATCTTTGTATAGTGTGATGGAGTTCTAATAACCACAAGTTTCCTGATTTACGAAATAAGATAATACTGATCTTATGTACCCATCTCAGAGGTGGACACCGGGCTTAAGCAGAATTACGGGGGCAGGAGAACAACCCACAGGGCACGTGTAGACTCATCTGGGAAACCCTGTGGGAAGGATTGGCGAGGGAGCAGGAAAAGGCAGAGAGGAGGTGCTTTTTGGAAGTAACACGTGTGCAGTGCAGGTAGAGAGAAATGCATATTCCAAGAGGGAGAAATTAGTAACAGGAAACAAGGATGTCAGATGTAAAATGTACTGAAATCTTTTTAGACTTATTACTTACTTCCTTAGATAAGGTACCAGTGATATATAAACCAGTTGCCATCAAGGCAGTTCCCCCCAGGAGGTCCCCTGTGCTCCACTGGGCTTTCATTGCCTGATGTTTCAGATCACTAGACCTTTCTTTCCGCTGCCTCTGGATGGATTTGAACCATCAACCTTTCAGTTAGCAGCCAAGCACATTAGCCATAGTCACCATTCAGGTCAAGTATAAGTGAGATGCCTTTCAACTAGGACAAATATCTGATTTCAACAGCAGTGAGGAGTTCTTAATTCCATAGTTCCTCCATATATATGTGTGTGTATACATATATATTATAATAGTAGATGATAAACAATATATAATATGCTATGTATAAATAGTATGGTGTACTTTCACATTTTTAGACTAATATGTACTAATACAAATGTAATAATTAAAAATGAAGAGATACATTCTGAAGAAAATAAAATACAGATTTCAAAACAAAAGAACAAGGGGGGTGGAATAATCGCCGTCAAGTCAACACCAACTAAGGAAACCATTACGACTATCTTTACTTTCTTAAGTAATTTACATGAATGTTTTTTGAAACATCACTTAAAACTCAGTTGAAATAACTAAAAATGTGCCTTCTTTTTTCGGTGGGAAGTATAGGATTACAGGAACTGGTCTTTACTTAAATGTGTCAAGTTCAGGCGGACGTTGGCTAACCCTTTTAGGAAAAAAAATCATATTCTCTGAAGTACATGTTATTCTCTGGGATTTTTGTTTGTTTGTTTTTCTTTTCGAAGTGACAGTGTCTTTCTTTTCGGGAAGTTGAGGAACATTAATTTTTTATTAGGAAAGGAATCCTGAGTTTGAATAATAAATGACATTTACGTAAAGAGCCTTTTCATGTGTGCTAATGGCACCCATAACGTCAGATGGGTATTTTGATCGTGGAGGGCAGGGGGATAGTGTGGCCCGAGAGCTAAGGGCGCAGCGCTGTGGCACCCAAAGCTGCCCTCGCGCACATGGAATTCTGCACAGTGACATCAGAAGGCAGGCGGTTGAGGAAGTGACCATGGTTTGTTGATCAGGGAGGGTGTGGAGGAGGAACAAAGGAAAGACGGACTCTGGGGCACCTCTGTTCTATTCTGGACTCCTGTGACAACTCTTACTTCTGCTGCAGTGCCCATGTACTTTGGTCTTTAATCTCTCTGACTTTTTATCTTGTTTTTCCCTCCTCCCACCTGGAACCAAAAGACAGTGTTTCCGGAAACGAATAGAGTCAGAGGAAGGAAAACGCTTTAGTCATCACACGCGGCAGCCAGGTGGCAGGAAGGTGCTCCGCTCTGGGATCACCAAGTCCAGATGCTCCCTCACAGCAGCGGCCAGTCCAAGAGGCACAGCTTGCTCCCCGAGGGCAGGGCGGTTTCCTTAAAACAAAAGTGAACATTGCTCCCCTCAAAGCTTGCTGCAAATGCTGTCTATTGAATTTTTGAACCTTAAATATTATGGTGTTATTTTTGTAATCATTTTATTGGAGGCTTGTATAACTCTTACCACAATCCATCCATCCATCCATTGTGTCAAGCATATTTGTACATTTGTTGCCATCATCATGTTCAAAGCATTTTCTTTCTACTTGAGCCCTTGGTATCAGTTCCTCATCTTTTCCCCTCCCTCCCTTATGAACCCTTGATAATTTATAAAATATTACTACTTTTTCATGTCATATATTGACCAATATCTCCCATCACCCACTTTTCTGTTATCCATCCCCCTGGGGTGGGGTTATAGGTAGATCACTGAGATCGATTCACCCTTTCTCCCCCAATTTCCCCTTACCCTCCAGGTATGGCTACTCTCAATATTGGCGATGAGAGGTTTACCTGCCCTGGATTTCCTTTGTTTCCAGCACTTTTCTGTACCCGTGTACATGCTCTGGTCTATCCAGATTTGTAAAGTAGAATTAGGGTCATGATAGTGTCGGGAGGGGCAGGAAGAAGCATTTAAGAACTGGAGGAAAGTTGTATGTTTCATCGGTGCTATACTGCACCCTGATTGATTCGTCTCCTCCCTGCAACCCTTCTGTAAGGGGATGTCCAATTGCCTACAGATGGGCTTTGGGTCTCCGCTCCTCACTCCCCCTCATTCACAATGATATGAGCTTTTGTTATGGTGTTATTAATCAATAAGATACCCCCTTCTGGTCAAATAAATGTATTTCTGGCATGATACATGCCCTCTAACTCTAAATAAAGCTTCTTATCATAGGTGTACTTTCACTGAAGGCATGACAAGAGAAATGAAATGGGATTCAAGAAGAATTCCTATGAATGATAAGGGAATGCTTTGCCCATAAAGTTTATTAGTAGTGCCTAACTCTGGGGCTTCTCTCATCTCCCCCCTTTTTCCTTTCTTACTTATCCTCTTCACCTGGTCCTCGTGTCCTCTCTCAGAAGAGACAGTAATTTTCTCAACAATATCATCTTCATAAAACTGGGTCTCATCGCTGGAAACTGTAGCAAATCCCCTTTGCCTCTCGTAAATGCAGAACGCCTCTGCTCAGCTGCACAATCTTCTCTTGGTGTATAAGCCTACCAAGTCAGCCATTTGACTTCTTATATTTCTACTCATCTGTCAGGTTCTGATACACACACATGCTCTTGTCTCTGACACTCCTGACTCATAAATTCTTTTCTTGTCCCTAGTGTGAGTACTGTAACTTTTTGTGACTTTTGAATGAAATGTTCATCCTTCCAATTTTGTATGCCATCCTTATCCTTTAAATGGAATTCCAAATGGATCTATCTTCTCTGTGATTATTGTTGCTAGATGCTGTGGATTCGATTCTGACCTCTAAGAAGCTTATATCTGACAGAACAAGCCGATGCTTGGTCCTGGACCATCCTCACGAACATGGCTGTGTGTTTTAGCCCACAGTTGTGCCGCTGTGTCAACTCATCTCATTGAGGGTCTGCCTCTTTTTTGCTGACCCTCTAATTTATCAACCTGTCATCTTTTTCCAGTAAATGGTCAGTCCTGATGACACATCCAAAGTGCAGGATCCCATTCCAAACCCATTGCTGTCCTATTGATTAAGACTGGACATGACCACATAGGACAGAGTAGGTCCCAGAGCGTCACTCAGACTGCCTTTAAACAAGCTGCCACAACTTCCTCCCATGGGTTTGAATGCACCAACCTTTCAATTAATGAGTAAGTGCATTAACCACCACACCACCACCACAAAGGATAGGATATATAACAAACAGACAAAATAAACCAAATCCACTGCTGTGAAATTTATTCCAATGCACAGCAACTCTATAGGACAGAGGAGAACTTCCCCCACAGAGTTTCCCCAACTATAAATCTCCTCTTTCTCCCTGAAGAGAAGCTGGTGGATTCAAGCTGCCAGCCTTTGGATTAGCAGCCAAGTGTTCAACCCACTGCACCACTGCAAGAACTTGTAAAGTACAAAATCCAAACCAAAACGGAACCCACGGCCATCAGATTGATTCCCACTTATAGCCGAGGCTATAGATCGTTACGGGAGCAGACCGCATGATCATCTCCCTCAAGCAGCTGCTGGCCTTGAACCACCTATCTTATGGTTAGCCTGCCAAAATTTCGCCAACAGCACCACCACTTAATTCTGGGAAATCCAAATTCGACACATTAACATTTTCCATTCTGAGTTTTAATGGAGTTATTATGAGAGTGGGTTTTGTTTCTTAAATGTGGTTCATCTCCTCATCTCGACTGTAAATATATTGAAAACAGGGAAAGGGGGTGCCCTGGGTGTTTGTTCTTCCCTTCTCTTGTATGCTCAGGGGGTAAAGTTCAAATGTGCATGTGGTGCTATGTTTCATGCGTACAGGATCTATCTCTTTTAGTGAAAAAAAAATAGACACGATACCCATTTGAAATTATTAGATGTGGCTTTACCCAAAGCTAGAAGGGTGAAGGTCTTCATTACTCTTACATTCTAAAACTCCTGCTCTGAGCAATAGGTGCCCCTCTGAATTCAACCAGTTGCAGACCTGGTTTATGAAGCTGCTGTGCTGACTTTCATGGTCAGTGCCATCTTTATGCCCAAATGTCTGTTTTCATCGATCACATATGTGGAGAGAAATGTCTTACAGTGGCTCTTCTACCCAAGCCTCTGTAACTCCCACCAAATGATTCATTGGGACTGTGAACATAGGGCCTGTGTAACACTAAGAGAGGGGATTGGTCAGTTTGGGTTGCCTGGCTACAAGGAGAGGGTGGGGCGAGCCATCTTTGAAGCAGTAGCGGAGAAAAGAGAAACCAAAAGAGCATGTCGGAGACCTCCATGGAAGTGGCGGAGGCCAGGCGGCTGGCTCCAGATGCACCCAGACTCGGTGGGGCACCACTGAGCCTGTGGGTTACCTGTGATGCCTTAATAACATTCTCCAATCCCTCCTCAAGAGTGTCTTAAAAAGTAGTACCAAGGGCAAATCAATGGCACTATTAACAGAAGATCTTTATGTCCCAGGGAGATTATCGATAGGCTTCACTCCTGTAAATTAACAAGGAAGTCTCTCAGGAGAGCCAAAGGCAGATAAGCCAACATAGATCCAGGAATGGATTTTGGGTTCACACTAAATTCTAGCTCTACTTTAAGAACAATTAGTTCTTACACCATGCCCCTGCTGAAGACTCACTCTCTTGAAAGAAACACGGAACATATGGTGCTAGAGAAAAGTGCGGTGAAGAAATTAGTGGGTTGGAAAGAGGGAACCGATTACAAGGAACTATATGTGACCTCCTCCCGGGGGGATGGACAACAGAAAAGTGGGTGAAGGGAGACATCAGACAGGGCAAGATATGACAAAATAATAATTTATAAATTATCAAGGGCTCATGAGAGAGAGGGAACAAGAAAGGAAGGGGAAAATGAGGACCTAATGCCAGGGGTTTAAGTGGAGAGGAAATGTTTTGAGAATGATGAGGGCAATGAATGTACAAATGTGCTTTATACAATTGATGTATGTATGGATTGTGATAAGAGTTGTATGAGCCCCTAATAAAACGATTAAAAAAAGAAAAGAAAAGAAATTAGATGGTGCCTGGCTATTAGATATAGCATCTGGGGTCTTAAAGGCTTGTTTCCAAAGAAGCTGCCATCTAAGTGAGATGTCAACTAAGTCCACATGGAAGAAGCACACCAACATCTGTGGCCCATGGATTGTGAATTACACAAGCCATAGCAGAAAGAGGGAATCGTATCAGAACTTAAATTGTGAGATTCTGGTGTATGGAAGACAATGGATGACAGTGGAAGCCC